CTCTGGCGCTCTTAACTTTTAGCCGCACATTGTGCCAAACGAGGAGCAAACACCTATCCGCCCATCTTTACATAAGCCCAAACGATGGCTTAATAGCAATAATTTTTTCCCTTCCTGTTAGCTGAACAAAACTGATGTGTGTGTGTGTGTTTTCAGTCAAAGACTTTGTGCTCGGCGTCGTGGGCTTAATTGATTTTTGCTGTGGTTTTCCGCAAATAATTTTACATATCATATATTTGAACGCTGGTTGTCAGTCCACATTGTGTGGCTTGTTCGGTGCACGTGTTTCACATTCATGTGTTAAAGGCATTTTTGAGTTTTGAATTTTTAGGAAAATTTTCCAATGGAATGAAGAGAGAAGAAAAGAAAGATGGGTTATCATAACAAAAACTATGGCTTAACTTAGTTCGCTGAATTCCATGTTTAAGTTTACTATGTCACCTCCATCAACCATGAAATGAATCTCGAATGGCTGCACCAGAGAAGAGCAGAATAATATATTCTGCACACGAACAAGTTGAAGGTTTTTTCTTTTTATTTTTGAAGTTTGTAGTTAAATTAAAAGTTAAGTTAAGATAGCAAAGATAGCTAGCTCATGTAAACATAATGCGAACCGTTGCAGTTGTTACCGTAGCTGCTGTTGCTGCTGCCTTTGGTGATAGTACTGTTGTTGTCGCTGTTGACTTCGCCAGTTGCCAGCGCCATAGCCAGAAAAAAAATTGGAGGATGCAAAATCGAAATTTTTCTTTTGTTGCACCTTTGAAACCCGATTTTGCACCCGATTTTGTTGCACCTTTGAAATTTTTGGAGGGTGCAATGCACCCATTGCGCCGGCCTGGCTACGGCGCTGCCAGTTGCCGAAATCTGTTCAGTGCAAGCTAGTTTAAACCTGTACTGGATTTTAACTTCGCACTCGTGTTTGCATACCGCTTTCGATTTTCACAAACGAAATACAAACAGTGCCGATTGTTTACACTCTCTCGCTCTGGCTTCTTCGCCATATTTTCTCAAGGAGCGACATTGATGGTGAAAAAAGACGCATAAAAGAAAAAATATATAAGCAACAGCGACAGCAACAACATCAACGTAGCGATAAGGACTTTCGCTATTTGTTTTCACTTCGTTTCATGTTTGTGTTTTACTTCTCTCTCTCTCTCTCTCTCTCTCCACTTTTCCACTTTGGCGTGCGTTTTGATGTTTCGCTTCCGACAAATGCCATCTTTTATTAGCATGATTTCATTTCGACGAAGTGTACGAAAAAGGCACGTCAACAGTGTGAGTGAGTACATACTGATGGATGGTTGTCTCTAAAAATAGTTTCCCTTTTCTGTCCCATTTCAACAATTATCAATTCCACCATTCACTCAGTTACCGGCCACACTCTCTTAAAGCGCCAACAAGAACGGCGACTTTCTTCTTATGCAAAAAAAGATCTGCCCACAACACAAAATCCGTTAGGGGTGGCTCAATGTTTAATCATCACGGCCTATCGCGAATGCGATGTATAGAAGAAGAAAGCAAATAAAACAAATTGTGTGCTCATACTTTGTTCCGGGTTTCTTCTTCCGCTAAGCATTAATTTTAGAGTAAAAGTGAAATTTAAAGGGAAAAAAACGCCTTGATAGGTACAAATTTGTTTGAACACACAAAGGAAGTAGGGTGGAAATCAAGTAACTGAACGCTTACAAATGATAAGATAAATGCATATTCTTGGTAGCGTTGCTCATTCAGCGGTAAAAAAAGTAATATCAAAGAATTTAATTGTTTCAATATTTGGGAATTTCGTCAAGAAAGAAAAAAAAAATCTGCGAAATAAAACAACAACAACATCGGCTGGAGTGACAAGCAATTTAAACGTTTTCCCAAAACTGTTTACCAAAAGTGAGTGTGCGAGATGCGCTGAGCCAACGGTCGGAAGGAGAAAATAACCGTTTGTTCATCGCCTTTTCTCTTTTTTTTGCCTGCTGTTCTTTGTTCTCGCACACGGAAAACATTTATGCGGAACATCTCCTTAATAATGAATGAAGGACCTGTTCGGAAGCGGCACGCACAACAAACGATGACGAATCACACTGAAGACTTTGACTTGACGAATTATGCCTATCACTCGCCTTTCAGCCATTCATTTTTTCTTCTTTCTTTCATCATCACCGTTTTCTTCGGCTGATGCTACTGCTGTTGCCTTTTCATCTTTTCCCCATTGTCTTCGTAAATACCCCTGCGTGGCTCGTGACAGGATTTCACATCTTTTTTGAATTCCTCAACTTCCTCCTTCGTCACTTTTCGTTGACATTTCGTTGACTCATCACATTCACTTTCGCCGAAACTCGTGAATTACCATCTCAACGTTTTATGACTGCGGAATATGGGCCCCGATATGCAATTTCCTATTGCATACAAATTATTCATTAATCCGCACCGACAAACATTCGTTCAAAATGCCAACCGATTTGCACAAGTCCATTGAGCGAAACAATTTATCTTTTTCTCTCTCCCCCTCTCGTTCGCTCCATCTTCTGTTCATTCAATCGCATCGCGCTTGGCTCATGCATTTTCATTGTTGTTCAAATCAACGGCTCTAATCAATGTTAACTAGAAAACATTGCGCCTTTTTGTCCGTCTCTTAAAACAGTCACAAGGAAGAGACGACGAGAAAAAGAAGAAAAAATCGCAGTCTCGTACATTATTTTTATAGTTACCGCACCCTGTCTAATATTTAACACCGTTTATCACACCGTGGTGTTAACTACTAGCTTTTATGCAGTTAGATCAAAGTAAGTGGATGGCAAGAGAAACATTTCGACGACTGAATGTTTACTTTTGTGTTTTATGAGGTTTCCTTTGAGATTCGGTGAGCAAAGCAGATTTCTCTGACACACACATTCTCTCTCTCCATCTCTCTCACTCACTCTCATTCACTCTGTGGCTGCTTTCAATGTTAATTTTTTTTATATTTTCCTGATTTTTGACGCCATCCTCCTCTAACCATTTAAACAAAAAAAAAACAGAATCGTTTTTACAATATTGCTATGATACAGCTATCTCTCTTCCCCTCTTCAGCACGACTTAATTTTCAGTTGTAGTCGCTTTTGCTTTCTTTCTAAATTTGATTGGGAAGTGTATCAAAAATTATGTTGATTCAGCTTCGGGGCATCTAATTTCGAATCAAACATCAAATGTTTACGAAACACCTTGTTGAATTGCCAGACGACGAAAACGACGACGACAACGACAACAACGACGGCTACACTGGCAAATGGATGCAGTGCGAGTCTGTGCACACCGGGATTCCCCGGTCCGGGAATCATCTTATCGGATGAGATTTGTGTGTGCATTTTTCTAAAGATAACTGATAACTTTATGAGCGACGGCGCGCACTATTTTGTGTACTCTGTCCACGTGAAAACACAAAAACGCACGGAGAGAGAGGGAGAGAGACACGAGTGGAGGAAATGAAATAGACGTCAGCGTCGCTCATTGACTTAATTAAACAAACAGATCGAGAACAATGTAAATACACTTGAACGCAACGCAAGAAGAGAGGCACCAAAATAACAATGACAAAAAGAAATTATGGTGAAGAAGAAGAAGAAGAAGGAAAATGTCATGAAGAAGATTTTGATACCCGCTTTCAATGTTCAATCAATTGGATTGATGCTATTTTGCAAATCTAGTCAATATTCCCAATCAAATCAATTTGTTTATTGTTTTCATCACTTCTTGCTCTTCAGTTGTTGTTTACAAACATTGCACGATAGCAGCAGTAGCAACAGCAGAAAAAAAACGCGATGAATCACCAGCATGCTCTCTGAAGCATTCATTCATCGAATGAAATTCGCACGTGCTGTCACAATGGATTGACTTTGGTCTGTTAATTATTTATTCTTGATCTCAATTTGGGATTTTGTGCTGGTGATTTATGCGGCCGTGGGTGAAAATTCGCAAAATGCGACCCAACACACAGGGAGCGATCGAGGAAAAATCATTCAGTCAAGTGTACACTTTCGCTGATGCGCGGGACAGCGCTTAAATTCTTGCCCATTATTTTGTGCGTGTGTTAATTCTTTCTGTGTTCTTGGAACGTGAATTTAATCATTTCACCACCCGTTTAGACCGCAGTCGCTTCACTTTATTGTCTTTTTGTTTTTTGTTATTATTTTTTCTGCTGCTGCTGCTGCTGTTGCTACTGATGCTGCGATAAACGTTTCTGCTGCTTCGAACGCAACAAGAGATGGAATCACGTTGAAAAACAAAAAGAATGTACTAAGCTTGAATTTTAATTAAATTTCGGCTATTTGATAACCTTTCCAAATTTATCTCTTGTCGCGCAACAACACACAAATTAATAATACTCTGGTTTGAAAGGACACCAGCAGTACGTCCTTCGAGCATACACAACGAGCAATCACCAATGGCAATGTAATGAAATGTTGAACGCGTAATGAACTACCTTGTCTTTTAGGTTTCAATGCGTTCAACATTCAATAATAACAATCACAATAAAAGAAAACAAGCGATGGCAAGAAAATAAATCGGTGCGCACGAAGCACACAGCACGCGATTACAATGAAAACTCAAATTGCTCTTAAGTGCGTATATACGTATTTTCTCAATGAAATTCAAGTGGAAATTGGTTTTGTGTGCGGCGCTTGTGATTTTGTGTTGTCGCGACAATACGCGATTCTTCGAGAGAAACAGAAACGAAAAATCAACAGGAGCGCGAGAATAAAAGAAGAAGCGACCGAAAAAAAAAATTTCGTGTGGCAACACAAATTACACAAAATTGCAGTTGCCTTTCTAATTAAATTACTTCTGGTGCGATCACATTTTTTGTTTTTTGAAAATTTAATTTCGGTAAAGTTTGCTCTGTGTGTGACGAATTGGCTGAATGGCAAAAATGTGTGGAGTTGGAAATTTTGGGGAGCAAATGCGAAGAAAAGAGAAAAGCTGGACCAACAACAATATTGTGAACATTCTGGGGGAGAAGGTTTGTTACTCACTTTGTTTTTGTTGATTCGCATGTAATCGGATTACTGAGGACATGATTTTTGATGAAAATTTGCATGGCATCTTCCATGTTACCGCTTCCACTGCCACCACTGCTGATACCGACGCTGGCAACGTCCATACTTTGCAAAGCCGTCGAAATGCTGCCCGAATCCATTGTGGCAGACTCGCAAATCGCTTCCAATGACACTGTTGGTAACAAATAAATTTTGCCCGCGCGATTCAAACTTGCTCGACAAACCGTATTGTTCTCTTTTCTTTCTTGCTTTTCTCTATTCTTTTTTCACACTTCAGAAAAACTTCTGATCAATTTCACTAATGCTACTTCGGATTTTGGGATAAACGGTTTTTATTTTGCTTCATTCAGTCATTAATTGGCGATTCAAACACAAAACCAATCGATATTGGTAATCTATCGCTTGATTGAAGTACGCACTGAATTTTCTGCGAGAAATCACGAAAGGCAATAAATCAATCGCATCGAAAACAGAATGAGAAAAAACAAATTTCAATCAAATTAAGAGCACTAATTGCGTCGATAACATCGGAGGATGATCGCTGTCACCTCGGAAAGGCACAAATTAAAACTGTTGTGATGTCGCATTAGGTTCGGCTTAAAACCATCAGAATAATTTATGCTTGGCAGAGTAAAGTCGCACACGCATACGATCGCACGCCACACCATTTCAAGACGTTACGATATATTCGGTGTGGTTTTTTTTCCTCTTCTTCTTGATCGTTCATTTACATATATATATATATACGTGGAGACCTCCTACAACATCACAGCACAAAACCGTTTGCCTGCAGTGAGGTGGTTAGAGGCGCGACACACGACTGCATTTGTATTTGTATATGTGTGTGGCTCTGGAAATTCATAGCATGTCTGTGGCAAAACAACGTACACACTCACACCACGCGCGCTCACATTTCAAACAGCATCGCATTTCTTCGACGATCAAATGCTCAGATTGTATACACACGGCCGTAAAGCCGAACTGCAACATGTGTTTGTGGCCAATTCAGTTCGGGAAGGCATAACAGATACAACGGCATGTGAAACAGACGTATTCAACATCCACTTGAACGCTGTGGTTTCGTCTCCTTTGCACACACACACACACACACACACACACAGCATACAAAATGTGTGTATTCAACGGAATCAAACTCTTCGAGTAAAATCAGCTGAGTTTGACGAAACCGACAAATTTTATGGTGGTTTTGAATCATTTTTGGAATTTCAACAAATTTCGCAACCGAAGTTTTATGTAAACAAACATAGATTAGATTCTTCGCATTGAAACACACCATTTCCCGATGTCGTTCTTCGAAAAGCCTATCAAAAGATAACAAAATGCAATGTTTACTCTTAAAATTAATTCATTATTTGCGGGAATTTTACTCCGTCTTTGAATTTGGTTCCTCGTTTGAATGATGAAATGTATGGCATTGATTAAAGTCTAAGAAATTCCTTTATTTGTTCTTCGAAAACATTGTTCTACCACTTGAAAATCAGTGAATGGAAACAGATTTGAAAGACAAGAAAAAAAGGGACGCCAACAAGCTGTAAATTTGACAAAAAAAAAGTGCTCTGGTTCTATTCAATTGTAAGAATAATTCAATTATTGTGTTTTTTTTATTTTCATTTATTTTTTTGTACGAAATTACAATAGCCTACAAGAGTAATTGTTAAAATCTCAGTTTTTGACTGCATTTGATATTAAAGACCCACTTTTGAGACGGTTTGTCGCAAACGCCTCCCCGATGTCGTCGATACAAATAAAACGAAATGTACTAAATGCGTCGACCATAAATCAAGCATGTTATGCATATTTCCAAGAACTGTCGAGAAAATACGATTTTAATAATCACACTTAATTGGCAGCGTTTGCAACATTGTTGACTCCACTTGAAATTAATAAGCAAACAAAATGCCGTACTTCAAACGGAGAAAATTAAAAAGTGGACGAGATTTAAGAAATTGTTGTTTTTTTTTTCTTGGATAATTGGCTCCACTTTAAGAAGCGAGTCAAACGAATTGGATGAAGCGAGCCAAAGAAGAAGAAGAAGAAAAAAACAAATACAAAATCAGAGTGTGTGTTGGGCTAGACAACTTAATACACTTTATCGAGACAATATATATATTGATGGAAAATCTTAGGATTTATTCTACCGTTCTTTGGGCGAAGAAGAAAAATGGTTAAGGTCAAGCGGTGATAAAAGATACGATGGAAATATTAATATTTATTGAATATATTTTGAGGAAGAAAACAAAATCTGGCACATATTTTTTTAATTGAGACATAAAATTTAATCAATGAATATACATCCATCAAACGGTAAACCTAACACAATTAGTTTGTATTATATTCGATTAATCATCAGGTCAAGGAATCAATTTTCCAGTCTATTGCTATGCCATTTGGCTATACATTCGGAGAAAAAAAGTCCTTGACTAATAGTACGCCGAAAGGCACACATTTTTACCTCGTTTTTCTTTTGTTTGGTGAAATTAAATGAGTCTCCGGTCGGAAGTGAAAATATCGCGCTTGAGTGCGGAAATTGGTTTTATGTTGACACGACTGCCGACCGGTATGATGAATTTAATTTTTTGAATAACATCATACGGTAAATAAATGGTCAACGGACATGCTCCGGATAGCTTCTCACGCCAAAAATCCATTTCGATAACAGCGTCCGGCGGTATGATATCAGGGTCAATACGATGAATGACAAGTGTTTTGAGACGTTTAGATCGTGCCGCAAATGTGCCTATGCATGGTCGAAAGTTGACGATAAAATCTTTAAACCACGGTTGCAAATGAATTTCTTCTACATCCGGCATCGTGTCTGGTAACTGATGAAAAACTGAATCGGGAATGGGACGAGCTACTTCCAATCTCAATGAGCGCACATTGTTAAAGCGTTGATGCATTGTCGGATGATTCACATCTAATTGCAAATCTTTGAACGCAAATGAAAGGTCAAGTGTAGCATATGTTCCAAGGTTTTCCAAATCATTTGTCATCTCTTCCGAAAATGTCACATAAATGCCGAACTCTAACCGAACAACGGGTATACGTCTTTGTTCGCACAATGATTTCAGATCGCTGAAAATGGCTCTAAAAATGACTTTGTGTTCAATTCGCACCACTAAATAGTCCAAATTGATGTTTGCTTGTGAAATAATCCATACGATTCGATGGTCCGATGCGACATTTCGAATGTGTGGATGCCGTTGCAAGAATTGTATCAAAGCATCATCGTTATACATTCGAAAAGCCATTGATTCGGACACATAGTAAACGAGACTCTCGAGATGTGGATACGTTTCTTGCATCCATCGCTCGCAATGCCCTTCGATTGATATCCCTTCATCCTTTACAATCAAATGCCTCAACTGGTCACAATGCTGTAGAAAACCATGGTGAATATCATGCATCGTACAGTTAATGAATGATATAGTCGTGAGATTTTTGAGTTGAGCATGGATTTGTTCGCCATAGCGATGGAACCGGTCACATTTTAAATTGATCGTATCCAATTCCAATTCTCGTAACTGCTCGCTACAATTCATTCGAAGAAATGTGAACAAATGAACTGCATTTAGATTCCAATAGTCGGATGTGAGTCGTATATTTCGAATGTTTGATCTAAAGCATTTCACATAGTTTTCACTGAATTTTATCGCTGGTCCGGATAATTTGTTCGATATCTCCATGCCATGGTTTCGATATCGATGATGAAAATACTGATTGGTCAACTGGAACGCCCGTTTGCACGTCAAACTCAATGAACACAAATCGGCAAGGGGTAACCAACATAAAATCGCTTCGATACAATCGTCGTTCAGGTTTAAACACATCGCTCTCTCCGCATCTATTTCACCTTTTTTTACTACGATCTCAGTTTTCGATGCTGAAATGCCCATACTTTATCACAATAAACTGTTTGCCAAATATTCTTCTTCGGACTTGAAATGAACAACTCGAACGACGTCTACCGTTTGGATGGCAATCATTAACTAAAATTGTTTGAAATTGAAAGAAGAAAAATGTTTTTTCCTATTCTATTGGCAAAAGTCATTGCTTTAAACCATTCGCACACAAACAAACGCCTTTACAATGGCTCTAAATATATGTGAACTGGTGACACATCCATTCCATTGTCAATATCATTACCATCGTGTGTGATAAGAACTTCTTATTAAGAGGTGCATATTAGTAAGGGTTTATGTATGCATACATCGACTACAAATTCTCGATGCTAATGACGAAAAACCAAATTGGTTAAACCAATGTCTTAAGTCATCGTATGATGAATCCTAAGGTCGTCATTAGAACAATCGGATTCCTCTTCATCGGATACACCAAATCATTACGCTTGTACTTTTGAACTCTTCAAAGTTTTACATTACACATGTGTTGCGCCAAGGGTTGCCATAGAAAAATGACAGTTCTGACATCGATTTATTTGATAAAAAGTTTTCGAATGTGAGTCGAAAAGAACGGACAAAGGGTGAATAACACAGATGAAGACACGTTCGCAACGCATATATAAATGTTGGTTTCTGCACTAAATCACAGATAAAATGTTTGTTTGACGACAATGACCTGTTGTTACTGTAGCACTTTACGACTCGGGATATACATTTTTGAGCGTATTATCTTCTCTAATTCGTTGAATTTCCCAACATACAAAGTGAGTGTACCAGCCAGCAAGAATCCATTTTCATGCGAAAAAAAATCACAACTACTTTAAATGGTAGCCGAATGTCGAAAATGAAATGGCTATGAAATGCAAATAGTCGTTCCAACCGAAATGCACTGAAGACAGAAGAAAAAAAACTACGAGAAAACGTAGTAGCATTCACTTAGAAAGCAGATTTAGTTCGATTGAGTCAAGTGCAAATCCATTATTCATTTCGCGCTCGAAGAGCACAAAAGTGTTTTAACAATGAAATCATAAAATGGAATGCTATTGACCAATGAAATATGTTTGGGTACGGTGGAATGGCCGATTTAAGTCGTTAAGAACATCTTCTTGGCAAATTTTGCTATGGATTATAACAACGATAACCTATCAACTTGGATTTAGCAATCCGCTTTTTTTTCCTTCCCAAAACCTGTAGCCCAAGACAACCGATAAGTTTTATCGAAATTGAGTTATTTTGGCTTGTGTTCGAAATGTGAATTAAATTATGATGAGATAACACCTGAGCATAGGTTTGAATTCACTTGAGGCACTTCAAACTTGAACCGATGAATATATTTGAAGCATTGCGATTAAATATAATACCTCTCATGTATGTCATGCATACAGAGGCAATCGAATTAAGGTACATTGCTGATACGCTCTTTATTGCTATGTGATATATAGTCGATCTAATCGCATAGTTTTTCGCTCAAGAATTTCACCCCGAAATAGATTGAATGATATTCGAATTTGTCTTCGGCCAAGTTACCAACAAAGACAATCCATTGTTCGTTTCATAATGCACGTTATCGAATTTTGTTTTCCATCCGATGTTCACAACGGAAATGAGATATGCAAAAAAAGAATGTGAATATCTCACAAAATATTTGGAGAGAAAGAAAGAGAAAAAAAATGCCAAGTAATACCAATCGATAGGTTTACAATACACCCTATATAATATAGCGAACGAGAGCAAAAATTCATTTCCGTTTGGTGAGAAGAGCAGTTCGAAGTTGTGTTGGATGTTTTGGAACGACAAAAATTATTGAGGAAAAAAAAAGAAAAATGATTGAGTATGGAATTGGATGGAAACAATCGTTTGTCATGTCAATAAAAAATGGAGAGATTGGGAAAAAAAGTATATACACAATTTATAGTTTAAAAACTTGTTCGGGTTTGGCAAAATAAGAGCACGAAACAAATCGTCTTATTGAATTTTCTGATTCATCGTTCATTCGCTAGCTAGCTCTTTT